TCGAGGTCATCATGCACGCACTGAAGGGTGATTCCGTGCGTAGGGGGTCATTTCAGGTCACCGGGGCCTTGCGCCTGAACTAAGGTTGATTTGGTAGCTTGGGCAATTCAAATTTGTTTTACTAAACGAAGACCATGTCCTCATGTGGATAAGTCGATCTAACTTTTGTTATCTGGGTTTTCGTAAGCTGCTAAAGTGTCGTTTTGTAAGTTCCGTCATGGTCACCACACCTATAAGACAACATTGCCATGCTGTAGTATATGACTCAGCCACATCAAAAGAAAACTGGCTATTTCACTCTCTCCCCTGACTTATTCTTCACAAAATTACGGAGGGTGACCTTTGTATCATCACTTGTTGAACCCGAAACAGCCTTGGGAAAAATGTCCACCGTGTGAGCATGTGACCTATGCTGTTTTTACAAATGACGGTCTACTGGGGTTCCTTTTCATTTTAGAAACTCGCGACCACTGGGATCGAAAGAACATAAAAACACTTCCAGAAGCCCGTGCCCACGGGACCTGGGCGGTCAAACGACGCTTCCAGGCCGTCAGAAGAGTTCAAAACGGTAAGGGTGTAAAATGGATGTAAATTCCGTTTCGGGCCGTAGCTCCTCCATCTGAGGGAGAAAGTTCCCACAACCTTCGCTGAAAATGCTAATTTGGATGCTGAAAATGACACCGTCAACAGTTTTACCTATCTTGTAACCCAGCGGTTCAGGAGACTAAAAACTCGCTTTGTAAATTCCGTAATCTGTAAATTCCGTCATTATTTCTGTAAATTCCGCCGTATTTCATAGGGAGTGAAAATAAAAGTCACTTGTAGCGCTGCCACGCTCAGAGGGGTACTTTGGGGTACTATGTATGCCATCTACACCAAATTTAGCCGCCTAGTTGAACTTTAAAAAAGAACATTTGGTACATCCAAATGACCCCCTACGCACGGAATCACCCTGAAACCAAACAAAAAGCAAGAGCACTAAGAACCATGATGCGTCCACGTCCGCCACTTGCCCTGCCTCAGCCAGCGGCTGGACAGTCCATGGCGCAGGCCTCCGCGTCCACTGCCACCACCGTCGCCGGCCAGTCCCTGGCGCCGGTGGAATTTCAGAGTGGATTTACCCTACTGCTTCGACGCCGTGCTGGAGCGGACCACCCGCGGTGCACCACGCCACTGGTGCTATCCCCTGGTGCCATCCACTGGCGCCATCCACTGGCGCCATCCACTGGCGCCATCCACTGGCGCCATCCACTGGCGCCATCCACTGGCGCCATCCACTGGCGCCATCCACTGGCGCCATCCACTGGCGCCATCCACTGGCGCCATCCACTGGCGCCATCCACTGGCGCCATCCACTGGCGCCATCTCCAAGGTCCAGAAGAGCTTGATGCCCACAGAGCGATGCTCGGAACATAGTTTCATACTCCAGCAGGCCATTGACGAAACGAAGCAGTCAGGGAATGAGCTCATCGTTACCTGGCTGGACCTCAAGAACGCCTTTGGCTGCGTGCCCCACAGCGCTATATTTAATCTGGAGGACAGGCGGATGGTGGGGACCGCCCTTCAGGACCGCTACGTGTCGGCGAGGCAGATCGCAGAGCAGCACCAGCAGACCACGCACCAGGTGATGTCCACGTCCACGGTGGAGCGGCGGCTCCGCGAAGGAGGCCTCCACGGCCGCGTCCCCAAGAAGGTGCCGCGTCTGTCCCTCGACCACCGGCGGCAACGGCGGAAGTACGTGAAGAGGAACGGGGGGCGCAACGCCGTGGGGTGGCACACCACGATGTTCAGCGACCAGTGGCGCGTCGTCCTGCACAAGGCGGGCCGGTCCTCCAGGAGAGGGTGGCGTACGGCGGGGGGTCCCTCATGTTCTGGGGCGGCATCATGTCCGGGAGGAAGACGCAGCTCGTGCCGCCCCCAACGATGATGCCTGGCGGTACGTCGCCGAGTGCCTGGAGCCGCACGTGGCGCCTGTCCGCCAGGAGGTTGGCGCGACCTTCTGCTTCCAGCATGACAACGCGCGCCCTCATGTCGCTAACGACGCGGCGGTCTTCTTCGGGGAGCACGACGTGGACCTCCTCCTCAACTAGTCGTCATAAATAGTTTGGAATTTGTGGACTGTGTGGTCACTTTGTTAACTCTTGTATTTGCAACCCAACATCAGCACTTTGGGAATTGGCTAAGCACACAATAGATTTACGTAAAATTGGCAAGAGAACATAGTTGTTTGTGGCTTTCCACCTTCCAAATTAAAGTATGAAACAAGGGACGGACTAGGGGAAAGAGGCTTTCGAGCAAGGTCTTTGCCGAACAAAAAAATTGTGAGACCAGAATCCCACTTAGAGCCGGAAGTTCTTTCCGTTTAAAACACATGCATTCCATAGGTGTCTTTTCTCCAAAATGGTCAGCACCAAACGTCTCCTCATTAAGGAGAGTTGCCAAGTTCATCACTTTTGCGGCATTAATTCAGAATTGGTTTTCCCTGACAGATCTGTTTTTGTGTTCCCTCCCTCGTGAGCTGCCATCATAGACTGACCTGGCGAGGGTGATGGTGGACCTCCAACGCCAGGTTCAGGCGCTAGTTGCTACGCAGGAGGAGGACCGCGCAGAGCGACGAGCTCCACTGTTGTCAAGTAGTCGAACGAGCACTACACAAAAGCCAATGTCCTCCTCCTCCCCCCGCAAAAAAAAGGGCAAATGTGTTCTGTTTTTCTGTTCGCAGGTCGTTCCGCCTCTCGTGTGGCAAGATGCCGCCTCTTATCCGGACGAATTTCGTGGGCGTTACCATATCTGTTATAAGTTGACATGTGAAGGAAAGTAGCACCAAGGATGTGGTTGTACGTGCACCACTTCTCCTAGACGTTGTGTCTCCGTGTGTGCTCACCCGTTTACTGTATTGTGGCAGGCTTGTTCGAGCTGATCGGGACGGCGGCCGTCTCGCCGCCTGGCAACCGGTGGTCGCCCCGGCAACCTACGCTTGCTCGCCCGGCTTGGTTAAATGCATTTTCTGCCCAGCAACCTTCTTCAAGATATGCCGCACGAAGAAGCCTAATAGTATCCTCAGGATTCAAACCTCGCCGACATTTTACCTGTAGGGCTCTTTATGCAACTCGGAAAGGGTGGCGTACGGCGGGGGGTCCCTCATGTTCTGAGGCGGCATCATGTCCGGGAGGAAGACGAAGCTCGTGCCGCCCCCAACGATGGCGCCTGGCGGTACGTCGCCGAGTGCCTGGAGCCGCACGTCGCGCCTGTCCGCCAGGAGGTTGGCGCGGCCTTCTGCTTCCAGCATGACAACGCGCGCCCACATGTCGCTAACGACGCGGCGGTCTTCTTCGAGGAGCACGACGTGGACCTCCTCCTCAACTAGTCGTCATTAACAGTTTGGATTTGTGGACTGTGTGGTCACTTTTGTTAATTCATGTATTTGCAACCCAACATCAGCACTTAGGGAATAGGCTGAGCTCACAATAGAGTTAAGTAAAATTGGCAAAAGAACACAGTTGTTTGTGGCTTTTTCACCTTCCCAACTAAATTATGAATCAAGGGACGGATTAGGGTGAAGAGGCTTTCGAGCAAGGTCCTCTCAGAAAAAACAAATTGTGAGACTAGAATCCCACTTAGAGTCGAAAGATCATTCAGTTTGCGACAGACGCATCCCATGGGTGTCTTTTCTCCAAAATGGTCAGCACCAAACGTCTCCTCATTAAGGAGAGTTGCCAAGTTCATTACTTTTGGGGCATTAATTCAGAATTTGTTTTTCTTGGCAGAGATCTTTTCTGGTGTTCTGTGCCAAATGAGCAGCCATCAAAGGCTGACCTGACGACGGTGTTGGTGGATCTCCAGCGCCAGGTTCAGGTACTGGTCGCTCACCAGGAGGTGGACCGCGCAGAGCGACGAGCTTCCTTGTAGTCAAGCAGCACAGCTAGCATAACTCAAGAGTCCAGCCCCCCCTCCCGGTGGAATGCTCTGTTTTTCTGTTCACGGATCATTCCGCCTCTCGCATGGCTAAATATCGAGTACCCGGACGAATTTCGTGGACGTCGCCCACTCTATTAGAAGTCGACATCGGTGTGGACAGTGAAGGTAAGTGGCCACTAAGATGCCACTCACTTTCACCGGACTTGGAGACGCGGTGATGTACATACATGTACCCTTTGTACACCAACTTGTCCTTCCCTCTTTGTGTTTTCGTAAAGCGCAGTTCTCCTGTCATTTTTGGCACTGCTGTACTCCGGCACCCCTGCTCGCGCCGCGCCGGGTACCGAAGTTGATTGTTGCCCCACTCTGCCCCATCCTGCCCTACCCCAACCCCGAGTTGCAACAAAGGCACTGTGCAATAAGGTAGACTCATCAAGAGTGAAAAAAAAATAATAATAATAAATTTAAATTTAAAAAACAGTGGTGGCAATCTAAGATGGGTTCAATGTGCAGTCGTGGTCGATACCACATTTTGACAGGAGGCGGAAACCACTTACGCCCCTTGCCCCCTTTGGAGGGGGTGAACGGCCGCCGGCGGGTCCCCGTGTTCATGGCACGATGGAGGGGTCCTTCGGGCGGGTCGACACCAAATTTGAAGCGATTCGGTCCATTCGTTCCCGTCCAGGGCCCGTGAGCGGCCATCAAAGGCTGACCTGGCGAGGGTGATGGTGGATCTCCAACGCCAGGTTCAGGTGCTGGTCGCTCACCGGCAAGAGGACCACGCAGGGCGACGAGCTTCTTTGTAGTCCAAGTTGTAGTCCAGCGCGCATTACACACTTAATGTCATGGGACTTTTTTTGTCCCACGATTTATGCAATTTCAATGCAAGGGTTAAAAAGTCAATACGAGTCTGAGAGTGTTGGATAATCATTAACCGATGTAACATTGTATTTTCAGTGAGGTTTGAAACATCGATTTAGTTCCGTTTCGGGGGTACTTGGATCACCGTGCGGGACGGAACGCCATTCAAAGAAAGGGAAGCGTCACGTCCCGTGTTCGTTATTTTGTTTTAAACCAATGTATTCAGGCAGGACATACATTTATTGATAAGATCAGAATGCAAATATATTAATTGAAAATATTGTTCTTTAATTTGCACGCGCACTTACACAGTTTTGAGCGCAAGAAATTTTACATACTAATTTGAACACCGAATCGCTTTAAGTTGCGTGAGTTTCGTACGAAAAGCGCGGCTGTTTAAATCGTTACGAGACCTCTGACTCAACGTGTTGAAAGTAAGTTGGTGTGGAAATTATTGGAAACCGAAGCAATGGTTGGCGAGGCTGGGTATGACGGGAAAGTCCTTTTTAACGACTTTCCGGGCTTCATCGACCAAGGCGACTAAGCTGGCAACCATTTCCTCTTGCTCGGACCTGTAGCAAGCCTCGGTGTTTTCGTCATCTCTGGCAGCGCAGTCGGTCAAACCGAGCGCGTAGTTGCCGATGATCTGGCCGAACTCGCTGAGGATGCGCAGCCCGTCCTTGGCGACCAAATAAACCTGTGAAGAACGACGCAAAAGTAAGCTGGGTTTTTCTACGGTTACAATTTCACGTTTTGAACTGTGGGATATTATAATGGTGTCCGATTTTGTTCACATGGTCTCGTTTCTCTTGTTTGGACACACAATTATTGTCCTGAAAAGATCTTGTCGTCAATGAATGACGTCCAAATCGGTTTTGTACGACAATAACGTTAAAATATCTTCCGTGATTAAAAAGAAATGTGTCCTACTACAGGTCATAATTGAACGTTTCTGTCGTAGAAGACTGACATTTATCGTAAATGTAAGACTATAGTCGTAAGATTAATGTATGGTAACGAATTTGTCGTTACTGAACCACTAACATCGTTAATTATTGACGTAATTTCAAGTTTAAGATTAGTCGTTTGCTTGCAACTTTGTCGTGAAGAAACAACTTTATGTTGTTGTGTACCAGCTTTTAGCCATTTTTTAACGACTTTTGTCGAGTGCTTACGACTTTTGTTGAAGGCATCAAAGGCCGTTGGTTTGGTTTGGACCTGCTTGTTGAGGCTCACTGCTTTGTATCAAATCATTTTGTACTTGCCACCTCTAAGTCCTGGAGGCACCTGCGGATGTCTCTGCCTTGATACGTGCTGAGGGAGGTGCTCTTCTCATTGTGGGGAGCCGCAGACACGAAGGCCTATGAAAAAAGCCACTTTTACTTTGAAATACTGGCATGCAGGCTGTTGTGGCTGAAAACTGACATTAAGTCGTTAGCTTGACTTGATTGCATTGTAGCAAACTCCGTCTTTTAGTACGGAAAATGTACAGCAGAAACTAGTCCGAACGGGACGGCGCTGCTCACGCGATCTGAAAGTCACATCTTCTTCCGCGCTGCCCAGGAAGTCGCGCGGCGCGCTCCTTCACTGGTAAAACAAAGGCATAAAAATGGCGCCCTTTAGGGCATAAATACTCTTTTACGCCCATTAAGGGCGTAAATCGTTTTATGCCCCTGGAAAGGGCGTGAATGATATAGGCATTTTAAGCAAAATTTTAATGCCCTTCCAAAACGCATTAACGATTCACGCCGCTCCAAGCGCGTAAATCGTTTACGCCCTTAAAGGTCATAATTGTAATGCCTTTGTTCCACCAGTGTTTCACTCAAGTTTCGAGGCGAGCCATACCGCACTTTTTAACAAAGAAATGCAACCATATCCTGAAAGGAGATACTTCGGTCTACACTCTACAAACTGAAGTGTGTACTCAGTATGCATCTACAGATGCATACTTATAAGTACACACCTACAGATGCATACCTAGCTGAGTACACATCTACAGATGCATACCTGTTAAGTATGCATCTGTAGGTGCATACTTGGCAAGTAAGCATCTGTAGGTGTGTACTCGCGCTGCTCGCTGGGGGCTCCGCCCCCAGACCCCCGCATGTGTGGGGCGCGTACC